TCAAACACAAAGAATTCAAAATCCTAGTCAGGCTAGGTTCCATTTTTTTTAGATTTCAGCAGAAATATTTTCCATTGCCAGACTGTTGCAAATACTAAATGTTAACCAGATCAGGGTTCTCTATCTTAAGTTTTTTTCTGATTGTGTCGCACTCAAATTCTAGAAATATTTTTTTACAATATGTTTGCAATAAGTCACAGTCTGTTACCGTAAGAGAAAGAAATATCAAGTCTTTAAATTGGACAGTTGTACGTAGTCATTTGCCTATTCTAAAACATTTTAAAATGCTAACAATGTTCTTCGTGACAACCACTTGTAGCAGACAGTTTTAATGGATTTCAGATACTGTTAAATTCATCAACTGTTATTAGAGAACTGACCAAGAACACCTGAGGAAAAACTGTAACATGTCAATGATTTATACAGAAAAAGAACATAAAGCAACATTAGCATTCACTTGGAGATTTTTTGTGTCCTCATAATGCCACTGTTTTGCTGTAAACACTACAGAGCTTAAAGTAATGAAAAAGAAATATATAATTAAGATATAAGTAGAGTAATTAAAGGTTAATTAATTCTTCCATCCTTTTTGAAGAAGAGATTCTAGTTAATTTGTCTCTGTTCAAATAAGAAACAGTAACTTGAAAACACCTCTGTTTCTCAGCCTAAAAGTTCCAGAGCTATATCTGAAAAACTTTTTCAATGGACTATAATTAGATTTTTCTTACGTATTCCCCCGGGGTATCCAGACTCTGCATAGCTATAATTCAGCAAAACTAAGGTAGAAATAACAGACATGAACAATTACTTTAGTGGTAGCTCAAGAAGCACCATTGTGATGTCCCCTGACTTCTGATGTTTTATACCTTCATTGGAAACCAAACCCTGTCACAGCAACCGTGCAGTATTCACACTGATTTACACCTAGAAAATAAAAATGATTTGGAGAAATAGTTTGAGGCACCAACAGTCTAACATCCCTTTGATGTTAACAAGCGGTAAATCAGGTTTCAGAGAGAGAGGAAGATGAAGAGGGAGACGAGGTACGATGAGGGAGGAGGATGAAGTGGAGACAAAAGAAAAAGAGCAGGTCAAGAAAGGGAAATGCTGGATGTTGAAAGAGATTTAAAGAAAGTTAAAGAGAGAGAAGAAAAATAGAAATTGAAAAGAGGAAGTGGAGAGGAGAGGGGTTGGGCAACTTTCCTTTTATGTTACAGGAGCAGAAGCATAGAGGAGGAAGTTAAATTGAAAGAAATTAAAAGTTGAGAGCAGATAGGGAAGAAATGGTTTACCTCTGATGTACAAAATGTTAACCTCTTTTCAGATCAAAGTCTTTCATAGGGAAGCCCAAAAAATTGAACCATACAAAATTGTGTTTAGATCATGTGTGCTTTTCTTGTGTTTATCAGGAAAAATGAAATGTTGTTCCAAGATTGCTCTATAATAAACTTGGAAATAATGAATCAAAGCTTAATGTAAAAACCTACACTGAAGCTGATATTTCTAAACATTAAAATGTTCTCCAAATGTTTGCTAATTTGCTAACATGTTCCAAATTCAAGTGCCTAAAGTAATAAACATCCATCATCTAGCAAGAACTAGACCGTTTTACAATGGGACTACTCATTTAATATATTATCATCTATAAGTACTCAGTAGTTATTGGTCAGACCATTCCTCTTTGAACTGGCATTCAGTTTGAGCTTACATTATGCACTTACAATTCATTAACATCTATCTATTTAGACTAGACAGGAGCATTGTCCCAAACAGGCCCATGAGAGCTCAATGGGAAATTAAAATAACATAAACGTGCACTTCTGAGAGTTTTTTTTTTTTAAAGTCAGAATGAAAACAGTTTTCTTTGCTTGTAGAGAGCAAATTTATAAGCTTATATTGTCCTCCATATGCTAAAGGGTCACAGTATGAATCACCATTATAAGAATAAACACCCATAGAGAAATAGACCAGAAAGGTAGATTTGCTAGCAAAGCTATAAAAGCAACAAAAACCTTTTATGAAGCTTTACACATGGTTAGAGCAGTCAAGACCAGCTTTGTAATTTCCCACAAAGAGTATTTGGTGCACTCTGCCGTGCTAATATACACTAAGAAAAAAGAAGCACTTGAGAATGCACCCCTCTCCAGGCGAACCATAACAAAAACAAAACAGACAATTTTGATTTTTTTTCTCCGTGGCTGTGGACAAAAGCTGTGATGTCTGTGACACAGCCTAGTTACTCATCTTTGTACATGGGATAATGAAAGAGTTTGAGATTACGGAGGAGCTGGCAGCAACGTGCTGAATAAAAAGGACCACGACAGGGAGTGAATTGTTTACGGAGGTAACTGCACGCTTTGATAGGCTTGGGCTGAAATGGGACAAACTGGCAGGTGTTACAACCGATGGCTGTCCAAATCTGACAGTGAAAAATGTCTGACTTTTGTAGCGAATAGAAGATAAAGTGACTTCAGTAAACCCAGAACTGAATCTGGTATTTTTGCACTGTATTATACGTCATAAAGTGTTGTGTACAGTAAGTCAGTACTAAAAATGAACCATGTTTTTGATGTTATAACTAAAATAGTTAACTTCATCAGGCAAGAGCACTGAATCACAGACAGTTTGTTGCACTTTTGAGTAACCAGCTGGGTTTGAGGGGAGAGAAACAGGACCAAAAAAAAAAAACTGTCTGGAAACGGTACCCAAAACAGACTAGATTTAACTTCCTGAAAAATTCCTGAAAGATTTTGAATTTTTGCAAAAAACACTATAGTTTTGGGAAATGTTGATTAAAGTGTGATAAGATGTAGGTGTTTTTACTATGTCTATTTAACATTTCCATTGTCTTTCATTGTCTTATTGCAATAACTAAATCATTCTTAACAGTAACAGTTTGTAAAGAGATAAAACGAATATTTAGACGAATTGAGTTCAGCTTAATGGTGTACAGCACAATAGGCCAAGTTGTTTACAGTTAAAGATTTTAAAAAACAAACTGTAGTGTGGGTGGTGTGAGCTTTTAAATAAGTCATCTGTAAGTAGTGATGTCTGATACACGAATTTCTACAACACGGGGATTGAATGTGAGGTGCAGCTGAGTGGAAAACCTAATAAACAGAAGTTGGCAGATTTAGAAAAGGAAGAAGACTGGGGTGTAAAAACAAAAAAGGGTGAAGAAGTCAGATAGCAGGAAATGAATGTTCATATGCTTTAGGGTTAAATAGGAATGGGTGGGGAGCACAGAACATTTGAGGCACTGGGAGATGAAAGAAAGGGTGGAAGGAGGAATGAGAAGTGTAGTGTAGAGAAAGAGAGGGTGGAGAAGTTATAAACTTCTGAGGAATGGATTAATGGCCACAGAATTATATAAAGATGCAGAAATAAGAATAGGTGGGGCAGGAAAAAATAGTGAGATAGTCTATTTAACACAGTTTTGCACCAACTGATGATTAAATATTTACACATATTACATTTTCTGAATATTGCAATTTTCTCAATATATTTTTTTTCTAAAGCAGTCATAAATAAATAATATTAGACTGACTTTATGCCAGTTTGGAAATTGTAACTGCCCTTGCTTTTATTTCATAGCTGCTGAACTTTTGTTCCAATTTTTAAGATACTTGAAAACATAATTCTCTGCTGTCACTAGGAAAAGAATTGCTTTCTTTGTTTCCCTTTTCTCACCTAATAACTCTATTTGGTTCCTTTGATGGCTATCCATGCACAGTTGCAATATGTTATACAGATCCCTAGTTTAGGTATTATATAAAGAGCTACAAATATGCAAATACAGCCAATGCAGTATTTTAGCAAACTGTAACTTTCTGTTCAAATCTGACTGATTATTTCAGAATATCTTTTGACAAAGACATCGCTGGTAAAAAATGCACATTGATTAATCAAAACACTGAAAAAGATTAAAATTAAACAGAATACAATCTAGGATTTTCCATTGCCTTATGTCCATTTCCAGTCAGTTCATATGGGGTCATATACTGGATGGTTTGCTAAAAGTGTATATCCCAACACTCACCTAAAACAAGCATTAATCAGGACAACAACTGCTTTAGCATAAATGCAATAAGAAAGATGGTTGAACTGCATAATGTTGTCCTTTGGGAACAAATAAAAAAAAAGGTTTTTGCGTAACCAAATGAAATTAAAATCTATATTTAAAAATCGATTCTTCTTCAGAAATCCATAAACCTATTTTATAAATGAAGTTGTTTCATTTTAAATATGTATAGAAACAAACATTATTCCTACCAGTTGCTAGCGCTACATCCCATGCAGTTTTGATTCCTAAAAAGACTGCTCTACCCAGAGGTCAAAGGTCAAACCCCCTTTCCACTCATCATCTTTTTAGAAGGTGTCGTGTTGTAACATTAAATTTCAAAAATAAATAAATAATAAATTAACCAAATATGTACTATAGAGTGTTAAAAAGCTTTAGACGGGTTTTTTAAAAACAAAAAAAAGAAATCATGCATTTTGCTAAACCCACTGGTATTCTGGTTCACAGTATTCTTGTTGGTCATCTTATGTATTCAGTGAAATTGTGCTAATGTCTTAAAAGGACTGAGATTTACTGATTCGAGGCTGTTAAATGTTAATATGTTGCTTCACGTTGGCGGAGATAACAAGAGAGAATTCGCAAACCTGAAATGCCACTAATGCAACAGGAAGAAGTACATTATTAACCTTTTCTTTCAGGGCACATTACAGAACAGTTTTGCAAAGTGCTTTACAAGATAAATAAACTTGTTATAAATCAGTGAGAAATATCTTACTGGATGCAACACTATAATTATTGTGAAAACTTGCTTTAGGCTGTGCTTGAGCAATGCACAACAGAGGCTGCATCTGTTTCTGTGGAAAAAACTCAATGCAACTCATTTGATTTCTGTTTAAAATGTCACACATGCATGCACGTTTTTCCCAGTCTCAATCAAACTGTTTTTTCCCTCTTTTTTTATTTATACATTTATTTTTAGGTTTCTCCAAACTGTGACAAGGTTTTGGTGAATGGCAAAGAAATGCGTGGTCGGCAGTCTTTGACCATCAAGTTCTCATACCTGCACCTATCTGCTCAGCTTCAGCTCACCGTCTGGGTGCCCAAGCTACCGCTTCAGATAGATCTGTCAGATACTGAGCTCAGCCAGGTCAAGGGCTGGAGGGTGCCAATCATCACTAACAAGAGGTAATTTGCCTGTCTGACCTTGAGGGAATGAGGGAGTGTAACACACGGTAGAAGGTGTAGGCATTAGCATAATTTTGTCAAAATGTAGAGCATTTTACGTGCACCATTTTCATTTATGCTACAAAGACTTTTTTTTTTCTTTGGTGAGAAACACATTGTAAGACTATTCAGAAGGGAAGCACAAACACCTGCAATTGCTGTTAGAATCGAGCAGTGAACTGTGAGGAACTGCTAGTTTTTGAAGTCACAAAAATTTATGGTACAGGCATTCGTTGAGTTGTATTTCCTACTCGTCTCTGAGAAAATTTATTTTGTCTTTAATTTTGGTACATATATATATATATATATATATATATACACACTACAGCTTACAATGCCATATTTTCCAAATTCTCTCAAAGCTGAACCAAAGGTATATCACTTTTAAGTTGCAGACTGACAATATTGTTTATTCCTACCAGTGTTACAAAGCACATAACAGGATGTTAAAAATGGAAATTGAGTGTTTCTTGCCAAAACTTACATTGGCATTAATGACTATATTGGACGTTTTCATCGTTTACATAGCTTTTAATGATTCTAAGTATCATTATGCTTTTGTGCTTCTATCTTTGATTGTGTATTTGTATGACAGGTATGTGTGTTTGTGTGTTTTATTCCCATTTCTCATCTTGCCACCCTTCCATTTTGTTCTGCTGGGCCTATTTTTCAATTTTGGCAATTTCTGCTCACGCAGCCACCAAGCCGTGTGCACAAACACACCTCCATCTCCCCAAACCACTATCTGACAGAGTGAAACACAAGCACTATTAGGTAGAGACATTCACACAGACACATGTGCAACTGGGGCACTGGGTAATGGAAAGAAAATTTCTGTAATATTACCTGAGTTTCATAGGTACTGTAAAGATATAAGACACAGATGCAGTCCTCTGTGTGTATATTCTTGTGTGATTATATGATCCTACGTGTACCTGTATATGGTCAATGATAGATTTCACAGAGGCAGGCAAAGGAGAAAGAATGTGTTTATTTGCGTCCTTCTGAGATAAAAAATACATTTTCATTTAGAGACGAATCGAGACAAGTTGCCTTCTTGTTTTTTAGTATTGAAAAATTAGTACATTCATAGTATATTTTATATTTCGTATGTTTTATTTCATTAGATTAGATCTGATTTAATTAATGACTGCTGTATTTTTCTATATTCTGCAAAAGAAAGAAATAATTAAGAAGAAAGACATGCAGCTGTCTTAGCGGTGCTGAAAGTCTATTTATTAGTCGATTACTGCTGACTAGATTAACAACACAAAATACAAAAAAAAATCCTTGTTCCATTGACCAATATTTTTAAATACAAATATAATAATTTAGTTAGTTTTTTAGTTAGTTTTTTTTTTTACTTTTTGATACCATATGAAAGCAGAAGAATGTAAAGTTTAAAGAATCCAAGTTGAACTGAGTCAAACAATAATCCTGTTTTGACTCAACAGTGTTGCAAATGTAGTTCTGCTCAAGACTCTATTAAATCCCCTAGTTATAGTGATTTTTACATATGTTGTTCCATTTAATTTTTTCTGAAAGTATCAAGACCCTCTTATAATGTAAAATAACGTTAAAAAGAATCATTTCTATAGTTTGGATCTACTGCTTCGGAAAAAATTGCCCAACAGATAGTATTACACAAGAATAGAAAATTGACCAGTTACGTTTAAAATATTTTGACCATCCTAGTCTTATTACAAGTGCTTAATGTTCAAGTACAGTGTTTAAATGTGTTAAATGTAGATTAGAGACTCAAGTGTCCTTTATTTGGCTTAAAGTGTAACCTGAAGATGATTTTCAGTACATCAGCTGGAGCTGAGAGGAGAGAGGAAAGGGGACATTTAATTACTGGATAATCTCACCATCCCTTCATTTTATTTCTTTCTTCCTTATTTATCTCTTTTCTTTTCAGACCCACCAGAGACAGTGAAGATGATGAGGACGATGACAGAAAGGGCAAAGGCTGCACCCTACAGGTATCATTTGATTGTAAATCAGTATTGTTTATGAGTGATCACAACTCTTTTAAAGGCAGTTTAATCTGAATAATATCTGCCTAAACACTGAGTTATTGATACTGAGTTGTACTTCTGTGCCATGTTTTTGTTTAATTACAAGCATTGAAGTAAGAGTCTGTTGTGCACTTTAGCATCAGAGTCTGAATGTGGCCTTGTTCTAACCTTTCAGTACCAGTATGCTTTGGTGCGGGTCCTCACTCATTTTGTCGCAGAACCGTCTGACCCAGGTGGAGAGATGGTTTACATGCTGGGTGCTGACTGGCAAGTTGATATCACTCATTTGGTCTTGGACCAATTAAAGGTGGGTATACACAAATACTCACAAACAGTACCCTTCTATTCACTTGCAGATCATGGCTTCTTCACAAAGGAATAGTTTAACATTTTGGGATATAAATTATTTGCTCACAGCTATGGGCAGTGACACTTTCTAATAAGTACTTGTAAGGTGGCTTAATATATAGACAGTGCACAACATACATCCTGATTTTTTGCATTTACAGATGAACTGTGTGAACAACTATAGCACCTACAGGAGCTTCTCTGCCATTGAAACCCATGGCATGAAGCTCCCAACACACGCTTTTTATGCTGATGTTAAGAAGGTTGCAACCTCTGCAGTTACTGAGTCAGCAGAGCTTTTACACACTATGCATCTCAGCACTCAGCAGCCCTACTCTGTAATTATACATGGTCTGCCACTTTGTACCTGAGCTGCCACTTGGTAATAATATCACTTACAGTTGATTGTGGTATATCTAGGAGGACAGAAATTTCACAAATTGACTTGGTACAGCAGTAAATTGTATCAGAGTATCACACTGGAATGGGACTGAAAACACCTGAATTCAAAAATTAAGAGATGCACCCAATAGTATATTAATATTGTAATTTTTTCTAAACAATAAATAATGTATCCTTTAACTGCCTCCTGTTTCTGTATTCTGCAGATAGAAGAGCCTCGCATTGCCAGATTAATAGATGGAAGAATCGTAATCGGGCGGGACCTGGGACACACCAATATACAGGTATTCTATAGGTATAGGTATAGGTCTCTTCCCCTTCAATTGTAACTAAGCTGGTTGATATTATAAGCTCTAACACCAAAAGAACCCTTTCTGCTTACTGAAGTCTATATTCATCCCTATAGTAAAGTTAAGAAACTGACTGCAGTGGGTCATTTCCTCATCATACAGTATTTGAGTATATATAGAAAAAAAAAAAGAAATTCCACAAGCAATGTATTCACTGCTTTTTACAAAGTCCAGAAAAAGACAGTTGAAAGAACTCATTATGTCAAGCGCGGTGTAATTTGGCACTTCACATTACAGCCATAAGTACTCCGGTGATGTAAACACTATCCCCGTTCCTCATATATAAGCCTCCCCTGCTAGCTTGTTATACAATTAGCCACAATTAAATGTTGAATTTGGCCCTGACATCTCAGCGTGATGTTCACAAATTATACACATATACACACTGAACACAGTTGTGCACTTTCTGCATTCCAATGAGCCTGGCCATTATAACTCAGTGTGACAGTGGAGGATAGTTCTGTGGCTTATTCTGTTATTTACTTATGCACGATTATGTAGCAAAACTAAAGCAAAACCACCAAATGTTTCGCAGTCCTCATCAGTGTCATCTTATATGTTTTTCTGTTCTCTCTTGCATACATCACATATATAGACATTATGTATTTTTATGGTCGCATTCATTACTTTGTTGAAGAGTATGTTTCACATCCGTTAACAAGTAAATGAAAAATGGTTGGAGTGAAGTTCAGTGCACAAGTGGCATGATTTTTGGTAACAGCTAGGTGTGTGTTAGCAGGGGACGCACGCGCACGCGCACACAAACACACACACACAAACACACACATATACAGCTGTGGACCGTTTGAGAGCCAGGAGAGAGAATTTACCGAGAATTCCCACTGAGATGCCAGAGTCGACAGGCATCATTTGATAGTTTGACATTTCAATTTTAGCCCCCAGCTCTGTCTTCCTGACTCTCGCTTCTTCCTCTTTTTCCCATCTCTCTTTCCTTTCTATCCCCAGTCTCTCTTTCTCACCTTGTTATTCTCTGCCGGTCTTGAGGAGCAATCCCAGAGCCGTCAGTCAGTGCATTTTGTTACCTTGCTGAGGGTGGGATTAAGTTTGACGCCCTGACACATTTGCTGCGAGATTGTCTTTGTACACCAATCAGATCTGCCTGTCCTCCTGTCGCTGGGCGAAGTAGTACACTACAACATGGGCCCCCTAATCTCTATCAGTGTCTGTCTGCTGTTCCCCCTGTTCATCTGTACCCCAATCTTTTTCATGCTCCTTCTTTCTGCCCCTTTCACTTACTGTCCTCCTCTATTTGTCATTGTCCCTCTCCTTCTGACACCTACTCTATTTATTTTTCCCTTGCTTGCTTGCCATCTTACTTACACTGTCCCTTTTTCTTTTCATCCACTCTGTTTTCATTTGAGTTGTCTTTAGTTCTGGCCTTGTTGTCTTAGTTGAATGCTGACACACTGGGGCACAGCTGGAATGCAGACGGGAACACAGTCTGTGTGCATTTGTGCGTAGATGTGTTTTCGTTACTTAGCGCGTGCTTCGCTGTGTGATGACAGCAGCAGAGTTTCCCTGCGTTTTCTTTACACATGCAATACCAGCACCATCAGCTTTTACAGATCCATGTTTGTCTGTATGTATTTGCATGTGTGTCTAAGACATGCTGTGCAGATTGCAGAAATGAATCAATGATGATCAGTCTGTGTGTGTTAACCTCCTAACTACTCCAAGTTTATGTGGCACAATGCACTGCTCTTGCACTGACAATGTTAAAATTTCACCTTTAGGAAATATTCACTCAGACAGCAAAAAAGCTATTTTATGCATTTCTGTTGTACAATGTTTTTTTACTGTTTGTTCTACAAAAACTGTACTTACTAATGTCCAATTACTTTCACAGCGAATCACAAAAAAATAGAAAAACTATGATTTCCTTGGGGGAAAAAGAAGCTTTTCTTAAACCTCATTTATTCAGCAAACTTTTTAAAGTTAAAAAATGTTGGTGTTTTTTTTTGGATTTGAGTTTTTAGAAATGCCTTCCTTTTATGTCCTGGTAACCAAAGAAAGTAAATTCAGTTTAGCGTTTAGTTAATGCTTCAAAATTGCTACTGAATAAAGGCATTACCAAGATGACAGCTGAGTAGCAGGTACTTATCAGCAAACATTTAAACAGCTGTAATCTCAACGTATTTTCTTGACATTTAGACTTGGTTGAGAAAATATTTGGCATCTGCTGGATGTCTTTCAAGAACATCCTTGGACTTTCTATTTACTTAATAGTTAAAAGAAATTAAATACTCTTGCTTTCAAAAAACTAAGATTCTCAAAGTCATTTGGTTTAGGAGAGGCAACGGCTCAGTCCACACAAGACATTTCCTCACAAAGCAAATAAGAGAGAATGTCCAAAATGACGTGAATGTGTTTTTTTATATGTGAAAACAGATGTGTGTCCAGAAATAGTAGTCTGTGTACATGTAGTGAACACTATGAGTCTGAGCCTGTGTGTCTGAGTAAACCACTGTTTTACATTGAAACAACAACATTTGTTCATTTTTGGGCACTTTTGACAAAATAAATAACATCATTTCTTGTAGAATGATTTTCCTATAAGCCACAACATAACATTGTTCCTGTTATTTATATACTTTTCAAAACTACGAGACCAAAACTCATATTTCGTTGTTTTTAACATCTAGCTTGCCAGGATAGGTGATTTAAACTTGAACTTAAATATGTTTTTGTATTGTCTTTTGTTTCAGGTTCTGTCCCCCTTGTCTGACTCGATACTGGCAGAGAAGACTGTAACTGTATTAGATGACAAGGTAAATATTGCTTTATTATATATATTCTTGAGTCCAATTTAGCAGATTAAAGGTTCTACCAGAGGCCAATATTAAGATTAATTACATCTGAAAGCAAACAACAACCAAAGTTCCTCACAGAGTAAGTAAACACGTGTTTATTAGGGCTGCACCTGTACATAATGAACTCAAATTATGCATATTTATTAAATAATGTAGCATCAGACCATGGCACGGCATACAAAGAGTGTTGTGATTTACTTAAAGTGTAAACTGTACTATTACTTATAGCATGTTTAATGTCTAAATAATGTCTGATACAAAAGTTGTATGCTTGTAGATTCACTTTTATTTTGTAATTATGCTATATTAATGTATCTGTCTTCCATTATTGATCTAAAGAGTTCCAAATGTGCTGAATATACCACATTTTAAAGTGACTAACTTTACATTTTAGGATCATCATCAGAATAACAAACCTTTAAGAGGGGACAAAAACTACAACTTGAACTTTTTTAATATTGCTTCTGTGAATGACTAACACATACATTGTTTTTTTGTTTGTTTTTTTACCTGCAGGTCACCATTTCTGACCTGGGAGTCCAGCTGGTTGCATCTTTGTCCCTTAGTTTGAGTCCAAGTCCTGTAAATTCTCAAGCCATACAGTTAACAACCACAGCTGCTGACCTGCTACATACACCTAAACAGGTAGGAGATCACTTTATGTCAAGTCTACATCTGCTAAAATTTTATGATCCTGTTATTCAGATTTACTTCTCGGCTCCAATAAGAATATGTGGCTAGATGAGTACCCAATTCAAGGTTGCATGAGGGGTGAGCATACCCCAGCTTTCATAGAGCCAGAGGCAGACACACTGAACATGGATGGATGAATTATATAAAAAGATTTTTGTTCTTACGAATATCTGTGATTTTACTCACACATTAAAACATTTCTGCAAGCCATCACATCCTCTCACTTTATCTAGTTTGGACATGTAGCCATGTGATTCACATGCAGACAACTCTCTGCCTTTAGGTTTTTATTACACAAGTGAAATGATGGCCACCATCTTTTCCTGTTCCTCTCTTCACAGTAATTCCCTAAAGGTTGTAATCATGGCTCTTAAATAGTAATTCTGCACTGCGAACATTATCTAGATGCTATCTCTCCCATAATCAGTTTCAAATTAGGGAAATGTAACTTCAAGGCTATAGCAATTACAACAGCAACCGATTACAACAGCCATTTCTTTTTTTAAATGAAACTTCAGGCCCTAAATACAATCCAGTAAAAGAAATTAAATCGCAACAATGATGCCCTCCTGGGTTTTAAATGCACCTTAGAACACACATGCATCAACACTACATATGAGTGGGCGGAGGGAGGTTTGGAGTCTTCACACACCCCCGTTCTCTGCGGCCTGCTGGAGCGGGGGGGCTAGGAGGAGAAGTTGGACGTCCGACTGGGGTCTGGAATGTGGGGCCTCCCTGCTGCTTACATGAAGGAACCTTTTAAAAACAAGCGCGTCCATGCTCACAGGTGTACACACGGGTGCTCACACACACAAACTACACCCTTTTTGGCTCCTACCTCAAAGCACACTGTGTGCTGTCGATCTTACGTGCTGCACAATAATGTTTAATATTTAGTATTTACTGTTATATTC